ACCAGACCCATAGACCTGCACTGAGTGTATCCAACCAGACCCATAGACCTGCACAGAGTGTATCCAACCAGACCCATAGACCTGCACTGAGTGTATCCAACCAGACCCAAAGCCCTGTACTGAGTGTATCCAACTAGATCCATAGACCTGCACTGAGCGTATCCAACCAGACCCATAGGCCTGCACTGAGTGTATCCAACCAGACCCATAGATCTGCACTGAGCGTATCCAACCAGACCCACAGACCTGCACTGAGTGTATCCAACCAGACCCACAGACCTGCACTGAGTGTATCCAACCAGACCCAAAGCCCTGTACTGAGTGTATCCAACTAGATCCATAGACCTGCACTGAGCGTATCCAACCAGACCCATAGACCTGCACTGAGTGTATCCAACCAGACCCATAGACCTGCACTGAGTGTATCCAACCAGCCCCAACGACCTGCACTGAGCGTATCCAACCAGACCCATAGACCTGCACTGAGTGTATCCAACCAGACCCATAGACCTGCACTGAGTGTATCCAACCAGACCCAAAGACCTGTACTGAGTGTATCCAACCAGACCCAAAGACCTGCACTGAGTGTATCCAATCACTGAGTGTATCCAACTAGATCCATAGACCTGCACTGAGCACAACTACCTGCACTCATAGACCTGCACTGAATGCACCTGACTGGACCCATAGAACTGAAAGGGGCAGTAAAGTGCAGGCACGTGCAGTACTAGTAAGGAGGAAGCAGAGCCCACATATGTACTGTAATTAGACAAAATCCCTTCGTATATACTTATCAGTGAATTTCCGCATATGCTGTGCCCATTATGAGGGGCTCCCACCATCCCTGTGCTGAGTTCCCAGGTCTGTACACCTGCTGTGCCCATTATGAGGAGCTCCTACCATCCCTGTGCTGAGTTCCCAGGTCTGTACACCTGCTGTGCCCATTATGAGGAGCTCCTACCATCCCTGTGCTGAGTTCCCAGGTCTGTACACCTGCTGTGCCCATTATGAGGAGCTCCTACCATCCCTGTGCTGAGTTCCCAGGTCTGTACACCTGCTGTGCCCATTATGAGGAGCTCCTACCATCCCTGTGCTGAGTTCCCAGGTCTGTACACCTGCTGTACCCATTATGAGGGGCCCCACCATCCCTGTGCTGTGTTCCCGGGTTTGTACACCTGCTGTGCCCATTATGAGGAGCTCCCACCATCCCTGTGCTGAGATCCTGGGTCTGTACACCTGATGTGCCCATTATGAGGTGTTCCCACCATCCCTGTGCTGAGTTCCCAGGTCTGTACACCTGCTGTGCCCATTATGAGGAGCCCCACCAAAAAAAAACATTATAAACAACTCGCAGAGCCCTTCACTCTGCGAATCTCTGTGGTCGTTCCTTCTGTGTGAATAGAGGCAAAAACAAACGTTCTTAGTATATTTTCTTCAGGTCAAATGTAACGTAATGCAATTTACATTATGGTCACTAGATGGAGCTGAGGAGATAAGTATTTATGTCCTCTGCTCCACAGTTCCATCTAGTGACCATAATGTAAACTGCATTACGTTACATTTGACCTGAAAAATCGCACACAACGAACGTGCACATGTATTCGCAGGGTGAAGGGCTTTTAGGGGCAGGGTGGACCTGCCCGCTGTTTTTTTCCGGCACCATATGCCATATCACATTGTGACATGCGTTGCCCTGTATCAGAATGCGGACAGGCTGCATGTTCACGTGACGCACACCACCGCTGTATATGGTGTGAACGGGGCATATTCAGAACAATTGTTTTCTCTGTTCCCTTGCGGCGAAGTTGCGTTGATCGATATGCTCGATCGATATTCACCTGGTATGCACGATCCCGAAATGAGAACTTTGTGGTATTTGAGATCTCGCCAAATGCCTGACCACGATAAAGGAACGGCGAGATGGAAAATGTGCCATCAGATCCTGGGGGCCAATCGGAGAGGGGAATGTGGCCGGTATTCCGGGCCCTGAGCCAATGCAGCCTGCCATTTTACAGATGGTCTTTATTTGGCGGTTGCATGTTACAGTCCCCCCCTGTGTCACCCCCTTCAGTCATGTCCGCCTGTCAGGATCCCCCTGATGCCTCCCCATGTCTATCCTGCATGTGAAGTGGGACAAAGGTCGTGCGACTACAGAGCCAGCCAGGGACAGGGAGCGGCTGGGCCCATGTCTGCTAAACGGAGCTCTTCTCACTCAGCTACTTATTAACCTGCCAGCAGGGAGAACATTTTGTGTCCAAACATTTCCACAAAATACATAACAATGTGTTCAATACACAGACTATTCACCAGGTGAGTATGCAATACACAGACTATTCACCGGGCGAGTGTCCAATACACAGACTATTCACCGGGCACGGCCTGTCCAATACACAGACTATTCACCGGGCACAGCCTGTCCAATACACAGACTATTCACCGGGCACAGCCTGTCCAATACACAGACTATTCACCGGGCACAGCCTATCCAATACACAGACTATTCACCAGGCACGGCCTGTCCAATACACAGACTATTCACCGGGCAAGTGTCCAATACACAGACTATTCCCCAGGCCCGGCCTGTCCAATACACAGACTATTCACCGGGCACAGCCTGTTCAATACACAGACTATTCACCGGGCATGTGTCCAATACAAAAACTATTCACCGGGCACAGCCTGTCCAATACACAGACTATTCACCGGGCACAGCCTATCCAATACACAGATTATTCACCGGGCACAGTGAATAGATCCCTGCTGAAAATATTCATTTTGCCATTTTGAAAGTCCCAGTTGCCTGGCCGCCATGTTGATCCGAAGGCTTCTGATACATCAGACGGTCTGTGTGGAAGTAACACCCGGGGACACCTAGCAGAGTCTGTTCTGTCTGGAGCCGGGACAAGGAGAAGAGGGGGAGGGGATGCCGGGTGCTGTGAAGACAGCAGCTGCAGGATGGATTCCACGGGGGTCACCGGGACTATTCAGGTTGCTGAGTAATGTGGAGTCTCAGCCTCCACCATCCTGGGCGACCAGTTCTTTATAGCTGACCTCCGACCTTCCCTTCAGTCTTCTATCTGACCTGCGGCCTCCCCTTCAGTCTTGCACAGTTGTACCGGCTCCTCTTACACTGTCACTGTACACTGGGAGCTTCTTACAATGTGCACTAGAAGCTGCAGCAAGCCAGAGAGAGCCCATCTCATTACCTGGCTGGAGGACGTCCAGCATCATCTAGCTATCTTATCCCCCCCTTCTTTCTTTAATAGTAATAAAACCAGAAGTGGCTCCAGATTCTGTTCCTGCCATTGGTGAGGAATCCCATGGAAGAAGAGATCCTTTTATTCCCCGGAGATCACATGACCTACTCCCTGCGCCAGCAGAGTGTGAACAGAAAGATCCCGTCTATGGACAGCTCGATCCACACACTATGTCCCAGGCACAGACAATACACTCAGGTCTCAGGGCCGGCTGTGCTCCCAGCCCAGAACCCAATCACAGCGTTCAATAATATTTGGTTTGCTCTGTTATCATAACAATCATCCTGTGTCTTTTCTTATTATTCTGATACCTTGTTTGTTCCATCTCAAGGCTGCTGAGCTCCTGCAGCCTGGCCCGGATTTACTCTCTCAGCTGCCACAAGGCCAGGTTCCTCAATGCCCCCCCCCTACCCACTAACCCCCACGTAGAATGGCAGACCTGCAGGCTGCATACAAGTGACCTCAGTAGCACCGCCGAGATCACTTGTACATAACAAGCGGCAGCTTCCCCCGCTGTACAATGAGCTCTGCTTGCCCAAAACAGGGCTAAATGTAGAAAACAACTACCCGTCCGGCGCCCAGAACTACATGTCCCAGCCATGGGGAGATATGAACTCCACACCTCTGCTGCCCCAAGGCCAGGGCTCGGTTGGCCTTGTGGGAAATCCGGCCCTGCCTGCAGCCACTTCCTGTCCACAGGTACTCCGGCAAAGGCTCATGGCATTTCTCCGGGTGGGCTTCCTGATGGTGACCAATGTCTGCGGACAATGAACAGCAAGGGTTTCATGCTTGTTTTTTTTGGGTGGTACCAGTCCAAATGACTTTTTACTTCCCTTATCCCGCTCGTGCCGCAGACACTTTTACATGATTACATACAATGCAGGACCAGCAATTTTGTATTACAAGTGGTGATGCCGAGGGGCCCCAGCACCCCAAAATAGGGTTGCCACCTGTCCAGGATTCACCCAGACAGTCCAGGTTTTGAATGCTGTGTTCGGGTTTCATGGCAGCAGAAACCCGGACACAAGATGTCAGGCAGACAGGGGCAACCAAAATTAAGATAGGGGCTACTGGCCCCCCACTGAAAACAGTCTCAACTGTGATATTTACATATGAATGGGCGGCGCTATTTACATATGAATAAGCTACGACTTCTTCTCCCCAAAAAATGTCTGCGCGTCGCCTGAGTGTTCGGGTTTTCTCTTGAAGAAAAGGTGGCAACCCTACCCCAAAACCGGGACCACCGGAGGGAAGAGAATAAGGGATAAGCAGCCTGGGGAGTGAAATCCTCTCATCCTTAGCAAAAGGTACCAACTGGAGCTCAATTATATAATTTTTTCATAATAACAGAGCCTTTTTTTTGGTTTCTTTTTCCTGCTCATGTGATTGGCTCATTGCCTTTCCTATAAGTCAGCAGAGCCCTTGGAGCCAAATAGCAGGCAGCCCCTGCATTGGGATTTTTATCAGTGCAATGAATATACAAGTCCATGGGGAAGGAATTGTCCCCCAAAAACTAAAAAAAAACTGTTTTGGCTTAGTCTTACGGTTTTCTTTTAGTCTTTAACCACAAAAATGTAATTTAGGAAAATAAAAAAGTAAATTAAATAGAAAAAAAAAGTCATCTAAACCAAAAACTAAAAAAAAATGATAAATATTAATAAATTATAATAAAATTATGCTGCGGGGGAGGGGCAGCCTGGGGAAGGGGGAGTGGGGAATGGGCTCCACCACCCAGCGTCTATCCAGTGAGGAGGGGAATGCATGGCGGGATTCAGGCAGAGGCGTTGGGGTCAGGCTTGGTCTCACCGACGTTCTTCCTCACTGGCTCCTGAGCCAGGCCACAAGGCAAAAGGCCATTGGTCACATGGATGCTTCTTGAGCTGCAGAGGAAAGAAAAAAGGAAGGTGAGGGGGGACATGGAAATACGACAGGACCAGCCTACATTTGAAGACAATCTGTCACAGCTACGGCTGGGCTGTCATGTTGATCCCCCAGATTCAACGTCCGGATGAATGTTCTATTAGAAAATCTGCTGTTGGGAATTATCTACGGCATCTGGACCTTCTGATTTGACGCCCATTCCTACCGGATGCCGAAGGCCCATGTAATGTCACCCTGTTCCCTACCGGATGCCGAAGGCCCATGTAATGTCACCCTGTTCCCTACCGGATGCCGAAGGCAGATGTAATGTCACTGCGTTCCTACCGGATGCGGGAAGGCCCATATAATGTCACCCTGTTCCCTACCGCATGCGGGACGGCCCATATAATGTCACTTCGTTCCTACCAGATGCGGGAAGGCCCATATAATGTCACTCCGTTCCTACCGGATGCGGGAAGTTCCATATAATGTCACTCCATTCCTACCGGATGGGGAAGGCCCATATAATGTCACCCTGTTCCCTACCGGACGCAGAAGGCCCATATGTCACTCCGTTCCTACCAGATGGGGAAGGTCCATATAAGGTCAACCTGTTCCCTACCGGATGCGGGAAGGCCCATATGTCACTTCGTTCCTACCAGATGGGAGGAAGGCCCATATAATGTCACCCCCATTCCTACCGGATGCAGAAGGCCCATATAATGTCACACCGTTCCTACCGGATGCAGAAGGCCCATATAATTTCACCCCGTTCCTAGCGGATGCAGAAGGCCCATATAATGTCACCCCGTTCCTAGCGGATGCGGAAGGCCCATATGTCACCCAGTTCCTACCGGATGCAGAAGGCCCTACCCTAATGTCACCCTGTTCCCTTCCGGATGCAGAAGGCCCATATGTTACCCCGTTCCCTAACGGATGCACAAGGCCCATATAACGTCACCCCATTCCCTACTAAATGCAGAAGGCCCATATGTCACCCCGTTCCTACCAGATGAAAGCCCATATAATGTCACCCCGTTCCTACCGGATGCAGAAGGCCCATATAATGTCACAAGGGGAGGATGCAGATCAAGAGACTTCCCTGACTACATGCTTATTCCAGCTCAGTGGCCTGGACCAGAGGATTAATATGACAGCCGGGCACCCTACATACATGGCAGCTTTACACAGGGACCGTATTACATTTTACATAGTGTTTGGATCGAGAGGTGAGCGAACGCCGGTATGTGTTCGCTCACCTCCCGATTTACTGAGCCGACCTGTGACAGTCTCATTGTCACAGGTCATCTAGAACTATGGAGTGAAAAGCACTCACCTCATAGTTCTCCTTTAAGGCCCGGTTCACACCTGGGCGTTTTGTAGCGCGTTCCTACGCTCTGCAAAACGCTCAATCACCGATATCCCATTATTTCCTATGGGTATGGTTCACACCTGGGCGTATTACAGGCCGTATGAACGCGCTACAAAACTCCCTACGCCCAAAAGAAGTACAGGAGCTTCTTTGGGGCATTTTTGCCACGCGTATCCATTGGGATACAGCCATGTAGCCCTCGGAAACGCACATTTGTCGCGTTTTTTACCGCGAATTGCGCAACACGCATATTCGATACGCCTAGGTGTGAACCCAGCCTTACAAATTCTACCAAATAGTCCTTAATCATACCTTCTAACAGTTTACAAACCACCGATGTTAGACTGACATCGGTAGTTTGTAAACTATTAGAAGGTATGATTTTGTGTTCCAGGTTATCACTCCTAATGGGGATGAGTCATTGGACAGGTACATGTGCAGTGGCAAGGTGGAGACATGACCGGGCAGGTCACCTATTATAAGATCAGTCACCCCAGTCAGGGAGAACCCGCCGGCGGAACGTCCGCAACGAGATGTAATTAAGCTCCACGTCAGGTGTGCATGGTTAGTCACGCATGGCGGCTGACACGTCTCGGCCCACTTACTTCTCCGGGGATTCAGAAACAGTGGTCATCAAGGGATGCGGGGGTTTGCCAAAGAAGAAGCTGGCCCACCAGTGGCCAGGATCAGACTTCGGGAGACCTGCGGGAAGAACAGCCGTTATCAGACGCACTTCCCCTGAAATATGTATTTATGAGAAAGACCAGACACTTTAACTCCTCCCACATCTCCTAGCCCCACCCCATGTATGACCATATAAGGTCAGAACTAGGACAACTCATTATACAGCACCATGCTGCCTGAAAATAGGGAGCAGCTAGAACGTGTGCCCAGTGCTTACAGTCACCGCCTCTACTTTCCTCTGTCATATTAAAGCAACTACAGCCAAAAAAAAAAACTCTTTAGGATAGCGAAGTGAATTGGGAAATTGGCAGGTTTTTTTTCTCAGTTTGTCCCATTGGAGAGATTTCTCTTCACTTCCTGTCCTGTAGACACAACAGAGGGGAGTGGAAATATCTCGGATGCGATTGTTAATGCCCACCAAGTGTTCTTATTTACTTCCCCTCCTGCTTCAGTGACAACTTTTTGGGATTCTCATTACTTTCTGTCATCGGGATGTAGAGAAGGTGAATGTTCCCAGCAAGGACAAACCCCCCCCCCCCCCCCCAAATATTTTTTTTACAGCAGAGAGTTCAATGTTTAAGCCTCAATCACACTTTGTTAACTCGGGCCGTCACATCAGTGCAGCGTGCACGCCCGTATCGGGCCATTCCCGGGAGGGACAGGTGTTGCGTGTAGCAGCCTGTTCTTCCCTATGGGAGGACGTGACCATGCGCACACCCGGCCTGCACATCCGTGCGGGTCAGGGTGTTCATGCTCAGACGCAGACAAGATCCATCCTGGACCCACAGGGATGTGCAGTTCGGGTGTGCGTATGACAGTACGGCCACGTGCTTCCATAGGGAAGAACAAGCTACTAAACGCAGCACCTATCCCTTCCGGGAACAGCCCCGTACGGGCATGCACGCCGCATGCACATGTACGGCCCAAGTTACCGAAGTGTGAATGAGGCCTTAAACTGGCTAAACACGAATCAAATATTGCCCGTTTCCTGCCGAATCACCCGTCCTGACACAAGTACATTTTTCAGACAACTTTTGTTGACGGAGTCAGGTGAAAAAACTGTCAGCCAATCAGTTTTGGTCACGCTCTGGGTACTCCGACAGCCGCGCGCACCAGCAGGAGAGATTGGTCCATCCACGTGGATGGGGGAAAATCAGGTGCCTGGTCATGAAGCACGTGTGTGGTCAGCTTTAGTTGCTCCACCCATCCAAAACTCAATAAAAAACATTTTGGCTCCACACATGTTAAATACAGGGCCGTAGTGGCTCCTCCTCCATGGACCTCCTCCCTCTTCTGGTGGTGACACCATGTTTATATCTTGTGTATTTTAGGTCAGTGTTCTATTGTGACCCGAGGAACAAGTAAATAAGTTGTAGCACCCGACTCTTATCGGGTGTGGTGAACACCGAGAATTGTCCAAATACCAGATCAATGTTCATGGGAAGGTAGACCTAGCTCGTAGAATGGCGACACCCCCCTAGGAGGCCTAATTGGGTGTTGGCACTCACCTGGGTGGTGAGGAATGACCTCTCCAGAATAGTCCACGCTGCCACAAGAGCTGTTACTGGAGGTGGATCCCAGGCGTCCTGGAAAAAGACAAAACATGTTATTACCCCGTGACCTCGAAACGAGAGGTGAACAGATGGACCTGCCACGAGTAACGGTTAATCAGTGACAGGGTTAATCCGTCCCCGAGATTGTGATAAGAAGTGAAAACAAGTATTTCAAAAGCTGGTAGCAGCAAGGCAAACATGGGGATGTAGGGGATGTAGTGTCTGTTTTAAAGTTAAATGTTCTTGTAGTTGGACAGAGTGGAGAAGGGTCAGCACGATGGTCAGGTCCTCAAGTAAACTCCAATAATGACCTCTGTTGGAATGAGGTAGCTCAGCACCCCCCCCATTAATGGCCCTGGGGGGCATGAGGGAGCATAGACCAACCCAATAATGACCTCGGGCAATTAGGGCAACTCAAGCCACCACATTAATAACTTGTGGGGGTGGGGTTCTCAAGCCACCCAATGAATGACCCTAGTGGGGGATGAAGCAGTTCAAGCTATCCCATTAATGACCCCAAGGGGGAGATGAGATGGCTCAAGCCACCCCATCCCATTAATGATCCCAGGAGAAGGTTGGTGGTTGAAGCTACCGCATTAATGACCGGGGGGGGTCTCTTAAAGCCACCCCATTAATGACCCCAAGGGGGAGATGAGGTGGCTCGAGTCCATTAATGACCCAGGGGTAGGTGGTTGAAGCTACCCCATTCATGACCTAGGGGGGCTCTTTAAGCCACCCCATTAATGAACCCACCCCAGGGGGTGATGAAGCAGCTCAGGACCCACCATTACATTTTCCTCCTACACCTCACTTTTTCCGGGCGGAAGATACTCACTGCGGTAGTAGTCGTGGGTTGCGACGAGCGAGCCACTTGATGGAATGGATGCCATGATGTTTCAAGCCTTATTGTACTTAAGATGATGTAAACCCTGCAAGAAAAGAACGCACAGTGAGCCATAGAAGTTTCCGGAGAAGCTGCAAGTCAAATACAACAGGGCTCATTGAACAATACAAAGGACATTGAGAATATTCATGGTGCTATGGAGGCCACCTTTGGGCCCCTAGAAAATTAAACGGAGGGGACCGCATGATGCGTGTATTTTCCTCCAGTGTGATGCATAGTGCATGAAAAATGGCAGACGTGGAGGGGGAGCAGGTTTGGATGTTATAGCTGCTCTACTTAGCTGCAGCTGTGATGAAGACTTTGTCATGAACCCTTCACTGTCATCCACTTGTGTTGTAGGATAAGAGCCTAGTCCCAGTCCATGCTATCTGCCCACCCACCAATGTTTCCTGGAACTGATCAGTCCACGGGATGGCTGGAATGATCATCACCTGCTGCAATGGTGAGAGTGAATTTGCATGTGTTTATCCGATCGCTTTATATTGCAGGTGTATTGGTGGTCTCTGTAATATTGTATGGACGCGGGGTGGAGGAGATTTGAAATGAATGGCATCACAGCACCATACCAAGATTTCATCTGCCTGATATCGCAGCATGTAAGTGTGAATGGGCCCTTACTACACAACTCAATACGTTGAATATATTTGTGGCGCTGCGCTTAAATGGTCGCTAACCGCTGTGAACAAGCAATTGTTAATGGCTGGATTCCATCAGAATGTGGAGACAATTGTTTTATCTAAAGGTGCCCATACACCTGGGTGATCCCGCGATCGTACGATAATCGGCAGGTGTATGGGCAGCGTGTGCTCTCTTATACTGTAAGGTCGCGCGACATTCGTCTAACGCACACGCTTAAAAAACTGCCGAAAATCGTACGGTTTTCGGCGGGTTGGTGGCGTGCTCAGGAAACGAATTCCGCACAGCCAAGCGCACACTGCCCGCTCAGCACTGCAATCATCGGAAGCCCTCCCCTCAGCGGGGCGGGCTTGCGATGATCGCAAGTACGATCTGCCTGTCCAAGATGGCCAGACCGTATGGAATTTTAATCACCTTACAACCATCGCACAACAAAAGTCGTGCGATGGTTGCGAGGTGTATGGCCAGCTTAAGGCAGGGGTAGGCAACCTTGGCACTCGGAACTACGAGTCCCATGAAGCATTGCAAGACTGATCACCATAGGCATGATTCCCAGCGGCAGAGGATGGGATTTGTAGGTTCAGCACAGCTGGAGGGCCGAGGCTGCTTACCCCTGATCTAAAGGTGGCCATACACTGTACAACCCTCGCAAGACTTTTTTCTTGCGAGGGTTGTAAAGTAATTTAAAAAAACGTACGATCTGCCGATCTTGGACAGGGAGATTGTACTTGCGATCTTCGCAAGGCCGCCCCGCTATGGGGCGGCTTCCGATGACTGCAATGCTGAACGGGCAGTGTGCGCAGGACTGTCTATCAGGCTCTGGGGTCACAGAGTACACTGACAGGTCTTCCCGGCCCTCTCCGGAAGGTACAAAAATACCCCGGGTCACGTGCAAGGCCATCTTAGCTTCCCGAACTTTAGCTGCCGCATATTTTCCAGGGACATTTTCCAGCAGACTTTTTATAGCTGAAATAACATTACAATGTATAGACTTACAACCACCAGGTGTGCGCATGGTACCGCCAAGGTCAATGCAGGACACACACTCAGCAATCTCAGGTCATATCAGAGATCCTGATGCATGCACCAATTTAGAAGCAACCGGGGGTTAATGAGATCTAGACCAGGGGTAGGCAACCTGGGCACCCCAGCTGTTGTGGAACTACAAGTCCCATGAGGCATTGCAGCGATGGGATCATTAATGAGATCATACATCTAGATTAGGGGTGGGCAACTCAAGCCCTCCAGCTGTTGTGGAACTACAAGTCCCATGAGACATTGCAGCAACAGGATCATTAATGAGATCATGCATCCAGACCAGAGGTAGGCAACCTCCACACTGATCTGTTTGTGGAACTTCAAGTCCCATGAGGCATTGCAGCAACAGGATCATTAATGAGATCATGCATCCAGACCAGAGGTAGGCAACCTCCACACTGATCTGTTTGTGGAACTTCAAGTCCCATGAGGCATTGCAGCAACAGGATCATTAATGAGATCATGCATCCAGACCAGGGGTAGGCAACCACAGCACTGAGCTGTTGTAGAACTACAAGTCCTATGAGGCATTGCAAGACTGACAGCCAAAGGCATGACAGGATTTGTAGTTTTGCGGCTCACCTGTATGACTGATACTACAAACTGCAAAGTCTTACATAAGAGAATAGTTATTTTAGGGGGGGGGGTATTCCTATCTGTGTGTGCTCTGTACATATTTGGCACTTACCACGGCCGGTTCAAACCGGTCTGTCTAGGAAAAACTGCTGCTGTCCCGATGCAACCCTGGCAGCTGAGAGTGGCACATTCCTGAACCGCAAGAGCTTGCAGTCTGAGGGGGGGAGGGTCTGATAAGCCACCCTGGAAGCCTGCTGGCTCGGTTATATAAGGCATTGTATACACATGTACAGTTGTCTTCCTCTGAGCTGCTTGTGCAACTCAAAAGGTCAAAGCAAGTCTGAAACGCCTGAAATCATATGGCAGGGGTAGGCGACCTCAGCATTCCAGCTGCGGTAAAACTACAAATCCCATTATGCTTCTGCTCTGGGAAGTCATGCATGTGGCTGTCAGTCTTGCAATGCCTCATGGGACTTGTAGTTCCTCCAGCTGGAGGTTGCCTACCTCTGGCCCAATGCTGTGATAGGAGGGCAGCCATATGTAGCCCAGTGCCATGGCGGCGGCCATAGATAGGCCAGTGCCGCGACGGGAGGGCGGCCGTAGGTAGGCCAGTGCCGCGACGGGAGGGCGGCCGTAGGTAGGCCAGTGCCGCGACGGGAGGGCGGCCGTAGGTAGGCCAGTGCCGCGACGGGAGGGCGGCCGTAGGTAGCCCAGTGCCGCGACGGGAGGGCGGCCGTAGGTAGCCCAGTGCCGCGACGGGAGGGCGGTATCTCCACTGCAAAGTGGGAGAAGACTCCATTGTGTGCTCTATACTGCTCACCACACCGGGTACAATCAGATTGTACAATCTCCAACAAGTATGTAGTATATGGGCCAGCCTGACTGGATATAATGTGATTGGATGCAGACAGGTTGGGTAGTTCAGATACGTCCTCAGTCCATAATGCTGGTAAACGTAACATTGATTGTACGGTCAGATTGTAACGTATATGGTGACCCTACCAGAGAGGGATCACGGGAACTGCTGAGACTGAAACGATGTAGCATGCAAATGGCAGCTAGAACACAATTGTGGCAAATACAACTCCTCTCCGGGCAGCGAAGGGTTAGGGATGATCAAGTCTTTCTCTACAGTTAGAAAACTAGTTAGAACTGGCTGAGCCACATCGCCCCCCTTCCTCCTCCTCCTCCTGCTCAGCAGGGTTCCCTTCTTCCTTCTCCTCCTCATCCTCCTCCCTCCGCATACACAGGATGGAACAACAAACCCAAACAAAAGGCAGCTGAACAGGCAGAGTGCTGAGCTCTCGCCCCAAGAGCTGGCAATCTATGCAGCAAAGCCAATGAGGCTTCGCCGTCGGCTCGCGGATGGCCGTGTGATCTTTGTAGGCCTTTTGGGATCTGTGTCGGGTTGTGCAGACGATACTTTGTATTGTTTCCGAATAACTGTGTCCATAGGATGGTGACGGGAGAGGATTAGGGCATTGGGGGAGGGGGGTCCCCGAGAATGAGACTGTCAGTGAGATCGTCCCCTGTGACCGATCCTTCATCAGACCCTATATAGAGTATACAATAGAAAGGAAGATCGTCCCCTGTGACCGATCGTTCCCCAGACCCTATATAGAGTATACGGTAAAAAGGAAGATGGTCCCCTGTGACCGATCGCTCGCCAGACCCTATATAGAGTATACAGTAAAAAGGAAGATCGTCCCCTGTGACCGATCGCCAGGCCCTATATAGAGTATACAGTAAAGCGCTGTGCAAACTATTGGCGCTATATAAATCCTGTATAATAATAATACAGTAAAAAGGAAGATCGTCCCCTGTGACCGATCGCTCGCCAGGCCCTATATAGAGTATACAGTAAAGCGCTGTGCAAACTATTGGCGCTATATAAATCCTGTATAATAATAATACAGTAAAAAGGAAGATCGTCCCCTGTGACCGATCGTTCCCCAGACCCTATATAGAGTATACGGTAAAAAGGAAGATGGTCCCCTGTGACCGATCGCTCGCCAGACCCTATATAGAGTATACAGTAAAAAGGAAGATCGTCCCCTGTGACCGATCGCCAGGCCCTATATAGAGTATACAGTAAAGCGCTGTGCAAACTATTGGCGCTATATAAATCCTGTATAATAATAATACAGTAAAAAGGAAGATCGTCCCCTGTGACCGATCGCTCGCCAGGCCCTATATAGAGTATACAGTAAAAAAGGAAGATCGTCCCCTGTGACCGATCGCTCGCCAGACCCTATATAGAGTATACGGTAAAAAGGAAGATCGTCCCCCGTGACCGATCGCTCGCCAGACCCTATATAGAGTATACAGTAAAAAGGAAGATGGTCCCCTGTGACCGCTCGCCCGACCTTATATAAGGTATACAATAAAAAGGAAGATCAGCACAGAGTAATGATACACTGTAACCCATGGTGACCACGGGCACCTTTATCAGTTTGCAGCAGGACAGCGATTGCTGATTTCTGATTGGTTGCTGTGGGCACGCTGCACATTGGCTCTGAGCACCTGTCTGAGCGTGATGAACCAGTAAGCATTTCCTGTCCTATTAGTCACCGACATCCTGTTGCGCTGTAGTAAGCACTTAACCCCTTAGCTGCTGCAGCGTTTGGCGCAGAGTGAGCGCATATTGCAGTCTGGCCTGACCTGGACTCAAACAGGACACATGGCGGTCAGCGCGTGTTAAACGCGGTCTGGCACTTGTTGCCTCTAAAGAGCTAAATGACGCAACGCAAACCCCCGATGAGCGCATAACGCTAAATACCACAAAAGTGACATAGTTGCGATCTCCCGAAACGTGACCGGATTTAAAGCGTCTTGTTGCGTACATATTCTTCATCAACAAGAACCACGGAACGATAACGTCATCCGAGAAACATAATAGTCAGCAACAAAGTCTAATGACAACAAGAACATTATACAATTCCCCTGAACTCTGCCCGTGATGAGGGCCCCTGTGCAAGAGACCAATTATATCTGAGCGCATGGCTGGGAAAGATTGCCAGCGTGCTGGAAAATGCACTCAGGCGTGGGGTCGTTATCGGCGTATGTATGATAAGATGGACGCAAGGAATGAATTTGTTGCCGCTATGAGATATATGGAGTTTGTTTTCTTAAAGGCACAAAATGTGTGAGTGAGTGAGTGAGTGAGAGAGAGAGATACAGAGAGAGATGCATAGAGAGAGATAGAGATACAGAGAGAGAGAGAGAGATACAGAGATACAGAGAGAGAGAGAGAGATATATAGAGAGAGAGAGAGAGACAGAGATACAGAGAGAGAGAGAGAGAGAGAGAGATATAGAGAGAGCGATATAGAGAGAGAGATATAGAGAGAGAGATATAGAGAGAGAGATATAGAGTGAGAGAGATAGAGAGAGAGATATAGAGAGATAGAGACATACAGAGAGAGAGAGAGATACAGAGAGAGAGAGAGAGAGAGAGAGATATAGAGAGAGAGATATAGAGAGAGAGATATAGAGAGAGAGATATAGAGAGAGAGATATAGAGAGAGAGATATAGAGAGATAGAGAGATACAGAGAGAGAGAGAGATACAGAGAGAGAGAGAGCTAGAGAGATACATACAGAGAGAGAGAGATACAGAGAGAGAGAGAGAGAGAGAGATATAGAGAGAGCGATATAGAGAGAGAGATATAGAGAGAGAGATATAGAGAGAGAGATATAGAGAGAGAGATATAGAGAGAGAGATATAGAGAGAGATAGAGAGAGATATACAGAGAGAGAGAGAGAGAGAATGAGAATATAATATATACTGTACAGTGTATCTATATACTGTATATATATCTGAGACTTCGAGGGATTGTCCTACCTGTTTTCCGACTTGATTCGTCCTCAGGAGCCTGGCTCTGGGGGTTAGACGCTAGGCGACGGGGCCCATTTGAGAAGGAGAAGCTGGGAGTTTTCTCCACGACCAGAGATTGAATAGCTGAGAATATGCTGCTGGAGCAGACGTGGAGCTGGCTTATATACAGGGGTGGGAGGAGCCAGCTGCAAGGGGCGGGCTGAAGGCTCAGTGAATGACAGCCTGGACCTGAGCAGAGAGGAAGGGTGAAGAGAACTCGGCATATGTTAGAACTTTCCTGACCAGCTTGCATGTTATCACTGCGGATGGAATAATTGGGGAACCTTTAATCTCCCAAATTCTTTGCGGTGTTCCTGTTCATGAGAATAAAGTTCCCACGGGTCGCCGAAAGAGACAATAGCCCTTGATGTCACTTTGTAGCAGGAGCAAGGATTACGCCGGATGTGGAGAGGGATGAGCCGGAGCGAGAGATTACATTTTGGCATTATGTATTGGACTCTTAGGCCGGGTTCACACCATGATCTGGACCAGATCTGGGACGCAGTACATTGCGTTTTGCTGTGGTTTTTAACCGCGATTTTACCGCGTTCTGGAGCTGTTTTGGTTTGTTTTTTAGCTTAAAATGGGCTTTCAGCTGCGTTTTTGATGCATTTCTATGCGTTCCAGCGCAATCCAGACCAGACAAAATGAGACCAGCAGTATTTTTCTGGTCTGGCCTGGAACGGACTGCGCTGGTGTGAACAGAGGCCAGAAATAGCATAGGGATACATTCTGATGCATTTAGGAGCCAGAAATAATCTGGTCTGGTCTGGAGATGATGTGGTGTGAATGGGCCCTTAAGGTGGACTCGGAGGGTCACACAAGCTCCCTTTATCCTCCCCCAGGATCTGTGTTTCTGCCAGATTTCCATTTTGTTTATTTTTTTCTTCACGGAAAAAATAAAAGAAACAAAAATAATCCAATAGAAAAACAAAACACAAAAACACAGGACTTAAAGGGCCCATTTGAATTTTTACACTTAGGTGAACGGAGAGCGGTCGGCGTGGTGGGTCTCCGTGCAGCCAATCGGTCTTCTTCCCGCCCCTCGGGCCATGATATCATGACGCCAATGTTCTATTACATTCAGAACCTTTTAATAGAGTCTTCCCCATGTGGTGCGTCCACATCATCAGGGTATGACGGGGCTCAGTCCAGGGTACCGAACCTATAAGGTCGTAGAAGCTGCTTGTCACATGACCGCGGTTTATGGACCTCCAAAGCGTTGTCTTATAGTTATGGGCGAAGTTTTCATTGCCGTTTGCGTCTTGTTGGGACTTTTCTTGGGGATTGCGCTACAAAATGAGGAGGAATCCCGCTCTTGGTTGTCACGGGAACAAGTGCCCCCTTAGGAAGATTTCTTCTCCTCCCTTGCTGCTATGGTGACAACGTTAACATTGTGGATGTCCCGTCACTTCTGTGGTCACCGGGAGACGTAGAGAAGGTAAATCTCGGTGAAGCTGTTCTAGGCAGCACTGAGCCCCCCGCACATCAGGAACACCACCAGCTTACCAGCGCCACCCAGCCGGGTCCACTTTGTTGCTGTTCTGGGGCAGTTTGCGTTTGTTAGGGGCCGGGTTCACACTTTTCTAGTGTGTTCCGTTACCACGCGTGCGTCTTTTCACACGTGAATGTGCGTTGCGTTACAATGAATGGGCTGGCTATGCCGGAAAACGTCCGAAAAAAGAACATGGGTTATTTTTGGCACATGTGTTCTCCGTGCATTTGTTATTTTCAGGGAGGGGGGGGGGGTTCATCTGTGTCCCATTGGGGTGCTTTCCCCTTCCTGTTTGATAGCCATATCAGGATGTGACAAGAAATTCCTCCAAAGTGAAAGAGATCCATGGAAGATTTCCCCCCTATTCCTGTTCCGGTGACAACACTCCGTCACCGCACTGCATAGAGGAGCAGCGTTGTCACCCTAGGCTGCTTTACTAATTTGCATTACAGAACTCCTCCCTCTCTCTGTAGGTCACACAGGTTTTAAAGGGAACATTGAAAGCGTATCTAAACCCAAGAATAAAAACCTAACCTATTGCAGATTGCCAGTCCTTAGATCTAGTGTTAGGGCTTGTTCACACCAAGCGCGGAGCAGATCCGGACCAGAGCAGGTGCAGACCGGATCAAAACTGCGTCCAATGTATTCCTATGGTATTTTGACCTTCAGTTCACATCGCAGCGTGCGGATCCAGACCGGATGAAAAAAATGCGGCAAGCCCTATTTTACCTGCTCTGGATCTGGTCTGGAACGCATCAAAAACGCATTAAAAACGCATGCAAGTGCCTGAAAGTCCATGTTAAACTTTAAAAAAAAAATTGTTTTTTTTTTTTTTACCAAAACCGGCCCTAAACGCATCAAAAACGCGGCACAACCCACTACACTGCGTGTGCAGAAACCTGACCGGATCTGGTCTGCATTTGGTGTGAACAAGGCCTTAGGGATGCACCGATACCGGTTTTTCGGTATCCCGTATGAGTACCGATATTTATGCTTTGGTACTCGCCGATACCAAGTACTGGTACCGGTACTGTCGCTAGCTGGGAAACCAGGAAGCCGGGTGGTGAGTCATTACTCACCGCCTGTTTTCTTGATTGCCCAGGAGGCTGGCTCCATGCTCATTGGCCGGGAACCTGCTAGATGCTGATTGGCCGGCTCGATGCTGATTGGCTAGGAAGCCGGCTTGAAGCTGAATGGCTGGGAAGCCGGCTCCATCTAATTGGCTGGCCAATCAGCATGCAGACTGCTTCCTGGCCAATTGGGAAGCTAGTAGGCGGGTCATTACCTGTTTGGCTGGGAAGCTGGCTCCTTACTGTTTGGCCGGCTTGATGCTGATTGGCTGTAAATGGACACCGCATGTCCCCAATTTTATGATGTCGAGGGCTGGAGATGACCCCCTCCAACACCAGCAGAGGCACAGGTGGGCCAGGGGGTGAGTGATAACATGATAACCATACTACCACGGCATTAGTAACCTGGCAGACTTCCATGCTGACCTTTCTGCTTCAGTACTAAGGACTGGACTAGTACTAGCAGGCCCAGGACTGACCCAGGCCGGGACACAGGGATAAGTAAATCTGTTCCCTGGCTTTCACTTGGTGCATGCTTGTTGCAGGTCGGCGACTCACGGCCAGAAAATTAGCATTTCCAGCCGGCACAGGTTCCCTTTAATGATCTAGAGGTCTCCCTGACGGAATGGATACATCTGTAACTGAGTATCCCTGCAAATGAAAATCGTGGCCACCGCCGCGGCACAGGTACGCAGGGGTTAAGTACATAGGACGCCCATGGCGTTACAGGTGAGTCATGAGGACGTGACCTGACTTGTCCCAGTCTGGGTCAAGTCTTAAGTAACAGGAGAGTGAAGGGAGCCCCCCCCCCCACGCATGCTGGCCTAGATCGTGGCGGCCGGAACCCCCCTTACCGTGTCCTCATTAAACATCTGTTCCTGCAATCTCTCCCCTAACAGGCTGCAGAAATGTGACCCCGGGAGGTGGATATAACAAGATGGCTGACGCAGCATGAGTTTAGGATAACGCAGCATGCCGCGGGTGGCGTGGCCCCCATCTCCTCTCCTCGTGGTGCCCTATGACCCAGTTCAGAGGAAAATCATGGACATGGCTGGGTACAATTAAAGTGGATGCGAACCCCCAAATGAGTGATGTTCAAATGTATCATCAACATTCGTCCACTTTTTTTTTTTTTTTCTCCATGTGAAGCCCGTGTGACAACAAAGGAGCACAATTGGTAGAGAGGGAGAGAGCGTTGTCACCTTATAACAGGAAGTGCCTGGACTGGGGGCTTATAAAGCACTGAGTAACTGTGGACTACCTACAGTGGGGACAATTTGCCATGGACTACTTATGTAAGGGGTCACATCTACACTGACCACCAATGTAAGGGGTCACATCTACACTGACCACCAATGTGTGGTCACATCTACACTGACCACCAATGTGTGGTCACATCTACACTGACCACCATGGCCAGGGCTGGTTTATTAGTTCAGCGACGTCTTCAGAACATGATGGAAGCCGCGTGTAATCTGATCCTCCGTTACATGTAACATTTCACATGGTTGCGTCATGTTCCTCCGGGACTGGAACGCCTTCTGTGTCACATCCCGGCTCACCTCTGCCAACAGGTAAGCGGGATACAAACGTGCCACGGCGTGTCTTTTCTCCTCTTTGACACCAATGTAACAACCTGGGTGTAGTCACCATCACTTTCTAATCATTTCCACCAATGCAGTTGCTCCGTGATCCTCAGCCAGTCGCACAGCATTTTCCCAGAGGCCGCGGCGTTTCCTGCAGTCGCTGCAACTGCCTGGGCACTGCTGGTCACATGACACATCTGGTTCAATTTGACCAAAATGAAGTAAAAACCTGACTCCAGACTCCTGGCTGTGACCCCATTGGGGGGATTGGCCTGTTGTACCTGTTGTAAACTACTTCTGCAGCAGCATAGGTTGCAGGCCTTGTGCTTTTTGCACCCCCTCCCTTCCTGCTGATGCACTCAAGGCAGCCGCCTCTTCTGCCTACCCCTTGGCCCGGTCCTGAGGACAACCAGGGCCGGATTTCCCCACAAGGCCCGGCCTTGGGGCAGCAGGGGATAAAGGGGCAGCAGGGGTGTGGAATTCCTATCTCCCGATGTCCCGGTGGGTAGTTGCTTTCTACATTTAGCCCTCCTTTGGGCAAGCAGAACTAAACGTACAGCGGGGATAGCCGTCGCTTGTTTTGTACAAGTGATCGTGGCGACATTGTATGCAGCCTGCAGGTCTGCCATTCTCCATGGGGGGGGGGTTTGGCGGGTAGGGGGGTACATTGAGGAACCTGGCCTTGGGGCAGCAGAGAGAGCCCTGAGGACAACCTTAGGTAAATGGTTATATAAATGGAAACTTTACTGTTTACCGTATTCATTCATTCATTCTTATCTAGAGGTGGAAGGGAATTCTCTGTTTAACAGGTTCCTCTAAGTGAAAGTTATACAATCAAATGTGCAGAAAGGTGATGAGGACTGAGACACTGTATAGGCAGAGCCACCTCTCCCATGTGCTGCTGCCACCTGCTGGTGACATTGAAGATGTGCGTCTTACAGTGCTATCTA